TCGGTACCCATTGCGCAAATTAACCGAGCTTCTTCTGGCTCAAAGGAAAATTTTTCTAGGCGCCCACGCAAACGTCTGAAGTCACCAGCTCGTGGTATCTTCTCAGTACTGGCGTGGTGCCGCCCTCTCGTGCCCCGCCAACGGCGGCACCAGCTTCCGATGGATGGGTGGCTGCAGTGGACTACCGGGACGACCCCGAGTGAAGAGTCTGGCCAATGACGAACCTCGAGCTCTCGTTCGTCGGCGGGGCCTGTCGGCGATCACGGCGAACGGGCATTCCGACTTTATATGTACATAATGATTACGCTGACAGTTATCGACCTTCAGTATACCACGATGCACTGATTCAATGACATCGTCAAGCAAACACTGGTCATATTGCCAATACTAGACGCTTCGCAGCTGTGCTCATGGTCACAGCCATCAATGAGCACAGCTGTGGAACGTTGAGCATTGGCAATGTAACCAATGTTTGCTCGATGGCGTTGTTTAACCCATATTCTTGGCATTCTGAACGCCTGCGACAGTCAATGCTGAGAAGCCAGGGGCTAAGGGCCTTTTTTACTTACATCATTCTAACTGCGCCAGATAAACAAGTTGTGAATTTGGGAATCGGTGAATTTGGTTGATTTGCATTCGTTCGACATTTCGCTCTTCCATAGATATATGCACGGACACTCGTTTGATGGTAGCTTTTAATCCCCACAATATTTAACAAAAACTACTCCGTGGGAAGGCTTAGCCCTTTCTCCAGTGGGGTTGTTATGCAGGACAGCACGCGCTGGTGGGCTCATGCTTTGAGTCATGACAAGAAGTGCACGTCAGGTTTTGGTGTATAATTAATTTGACTTGAAAACCATGTGAAACGCCCCTTTGCCTTCACTTGTGTGACGTCCCTGTGTGTATAAACTTATGTCTAAGGTGCGAAGACTAGTACGATGAAGCGGAGCAGAAGTGGGGCAAGCGCTGAACTCCCGCTGCAGGCACCACTCGGGGAAGGAGACGCACCGCACCGCGAGGAACAGGAGCCTCACCGCTCACGAATCACCGCTGCTGGGGACTTCACACAGGTTTACGAGGTCCAATCTGTTTTGGTGCGATGGAGTGCGATGAAAAGGCAGCTATCTGTCCGAAAATCGCCGCGCCACGGACTCCAGTGATTCCAGTCGTGGCTATGCTCATGCTTTTGGCGGTGACACGGGAAGAACAAAATAACGTGTAACAACGTGCGTCGGCAATGGTTTTGTCATTTGTGGTTGTCAAAAGACACGGGCTTGCCAACCATTACAAAGGAACAGCTTCAGTCATGTTGCCTCCTACGGCGCATTACCTCCCACGCCGACCATTCACAGTCGTCCCCCATACACTGAGCACCGTATCCAATGGCAACACTACCACACTATACACGACTTTCCGTTCGTGTTTAACGGACCTGCAAGCCGCCTTGATGCTGCTTTCGAAGCGATGCTGCCACCAACTGACGAGTCGCAGGGAAATGAAATGGAGGATTGGAAATGACAGAGAGGACATTACGCCTATCTTCCATGCATGGACATAGACTTAACGATATCATCGTTATTGGGTTACGCTCCCAAGTATACCCCATCGCCCCGTGGCCCGGCCACGTGCTTTAGGCAGCCGTCGCTCGTCGCACCCAATGTACAGAGCATGGGCATTCTCTGGTATGGTGGAAACGAGCGCATTCTATACGAGACTGATTTAAAATGGTTTTGTGGTAAAATGGTAATCTTACGCGCTTGTCGAACTTGCAGTCCTGCTCCACTGTGTGTGTCGAAAGCGATGATGTTTTATTACAAATGTATCTCGAACAAAGGACTAACAAAATTATCATGACTAATCGCTATCAATCAAGGAGCTTGAGCGTGGTAGGCCCAGTAAGGATATGATTGGATATGGCCCCATGGATATGACCCTTATTGCTACGTTCGAACATCTATTTCTGTCGGTTGAGATTTGCACGAAGTGTCAAAAATGCCTTTAAACCAGCCGAATGGAGGGGGTATCGGGTCACAAAGCGTCCCACGATTGTCGAAGTTTTGTTTAAGTCCCACGTGTTGCCCCTCATTCGCCAGACACTGCACGGTCCGCACCCATCGAATACCCGGCCCCGAGCATCGTGCGTTGTGTGATCGTCACACAACGTAATCTCGCTCGGCCGTAAAATCGTGGCTAGCACACACGGGCCCCGTTGACACCAGGCAATAAAGAACGACCAGATTGTCGAGGAAGTTAAGCGATGTTTGGAAACGTTCCAGACCGGGATGAGATCATTTTAATGTGTCCCGAATTCATAGCTGTTGAGGTGCAGAAAGAAGGTGGTGCCGATAGCGTCGTAACATACCTCATTTTATTTCCAATCCAATGCGCTTGCGTCATGAATGTAGCCGTATGTCAGGAATTCGTGCCGAGCAACAATACTAATATTGTTCAATGATGGCTTCCGAAAGACCAGCCAAGCTGCCCAGCCTGGGAATTTTTAAGATCACTCAAACCTAACTTATTCATCAAAGTCAACCAAAAGCAAACAAAACGGGCATTTTATTCTTGCGACGAAATCTCTATGGAAAGATTTTCTGGGGGGGGGGGGAGGGGTCGAGCACAATAATTTACAAACATTGAGCCTTGCTCGCATCATATGGAACCCGTGCAGTCGTAGTGCTGTTTTCGATCTGACATTGTGAGGAGCGGAGTGAAGCGGCGTCTTGAAAATTCCTCTGATTAAAACATGTGGAGGCAATGAGGGCAGGTTGACGCTGTGCGAGTCTTAAAAATGGCCTTAATTCAAGACAGCTAAACGCATATCTTCGGGGATCCCATCCAAGCTAGCACGCATGTTAGGCTTGCCGAACTCACATGCTCATTGATCAGCAGTTTCAAACGTCAGCGCAACGCCCAAGTACCACCGTCACACGGACGCTCCGCTGAGGTCATCTTTAGGAGACATCAGCCGATCTCAGCAAGGCCACTGGACCGCGCCCTTCTCCTCAGACTCTTTAGCCCCAATCTCTTAGACGCGCCTCGGCTGTCCCGGTTTTCCTAGAATCAGCTGCGGCAGAGCGCCCGGTCCCTCCCTCTTTTGAAGAGGGGGGGGGGAGGGGGGGGGGGGGGGTCCACCGGGGCTGTGACACGTGACGTGTCTGTCTGTGCGTCCCGACAGCACGCCCCACCATGCTGTCTACCAGCTGCGCGCTTAACGTGCCAACACCAATCAGTCCCCCAGCGACGAGCCCATTGCGCTGTATTATCGCCGCGCAATCACGCGATTACCGCCGGCCCATAAATCCCGGCAAACCGGCCCGCCACGCCCCGCACCGCCAGACGTTATGTCCGCGTGGAACGCTGGCGAAGGTCTCGTCAAGCGGTGTTGATGAAGCCGAGTCAGGTCAAACCAGCGGAGACGTCGCCGTGGGCACCGCGCCTAGGGTGGCGAAGGGGTGTGTCGCCAGGCGGTGATGACCCCGCCCGGCGAGGGGTGAGCGTCGCGGAAGCCAGAGAGACTCCCGGAGCCCGGAGGGAGGCGGGGGGGGGGGGGGGGGGGGAGGAATGGACGTCATCCGGATGATGAGGTCCTCCGTGGCCGGAGGATCACAGCGAGCATCCGTAGATCGCGGACAAGCGGTCACCGGCCGGGCGCCGCGGCGGCCGTGGCGTATCACGCTGTTACCTTATGCCCGGCTCGTCCGCTGATCGCGACTAATTGCTGCACCGCCGCCACATCTGGGCTGCGGTAATGACGAACAGCGGTGGGGCGGGATCATACAACCATGCCACTCGTCCCGCTGCTGTTTTTCTTGAGTGTCGAGAGAAATGAGAACAGGCATCTAGATTTTATAAGTGAGGTCTGGCTGTGCTCCGCGGCCCCGTCGCTCCGTGAAGGAAACCTCATCCGACCGCGGTTGATGATGCAGTGTGGTAGGATCCACGTCGGCATGCCATTCCGCAGGTTAACGCACGGGAAGTCCCAGCATCTTACGACCCTGGCGGTCGATCCAGTGATGCTCAGGGGATGTGATTTATGGCGTCCCAGGGGCTTACCTCACTTAACGTATTTTTTTCGATCCGGTACTTGCGGGTGTTTTCACCGGGCACTTCTGGTCATCGAGGCCACCCTGCCAGATCACCGCAATCGCGTTTTTCAGCAGAGTGAATCGCAGTGATCAAATGCAGCAGGAAGGAAACAACGTCACGTGAATGTGGTAGCGCGTCACGTGAAGGTGGTAGCGCGTGACGTGAAGGTGGTAGCGCGTGACGTGAAGGTGGTAGCGCGTGACGTGAAGGTGGTAGCGCGTCACGTGAAGGTGGTAGCGCGTCACGTGAAGGTGGTAGCGCGTGACGTGAAGGTGGTAGCGCGTCACGTGAAGGTGGAGACTAATCCTCTCATCTAGTAGCTGGAAGGGCACCACTCTGGGTAGAGGGGATGGGGATGGAGGTGGGGTGGGTGGGGCATGGAAGTGGGGTGGGTAGGGGATAGGAGGCTGCCTCGCTTTGAAATGACTGCAATGACGGACGAAGACCCGATCTATTAGCCAGCTCGCATGACCAGCGAGCCGGGCACCTTTCTACAGCGGTGTTGAGCCGGACCACCGCGCTCATCGGCTTGCGCCCCAGGAGGGCGGGGGGGGGGGGGGAGGTGCTGGGACCTGTGGCGCCGAGCGGCGCTGATTGGCACCGATCGTGCGCCGCCTACCAGCCTCCGCCATAATCGTGTTCCTGTGGCGTGCAGGGACGCGGCTGGCGGGGCGTGAAGATCCACATCATGGGTCTCCCCCTCCCAGGGCCTGTCACTGCTCATGTCACGCACGCCTCCCTGATCACCGGGCCGGGAATCACCCCAAACCAAATCTTCCTATATGGGTGAAGAACATGTGGAAATGGCGAAAGGGCAAACAGGAAATGTTTTATACAAGGTAGCTGATGAACGTGTAAAGATTATAGTATACTGCGCTTTGTGCCCTGCGGCATTTCCTTTTGCTACTTACATGGCGACCACCCACGTCTGGTCATAGTCGAGGACGTCCCCATCAGGGCTGGAGCACGTGCCCTGGATCGTTTTCGCCAGCTGCGTCACTGGAAACAACGAACGACTTCGTAAGGTTTCTGTTTGGCGCCGAGCATTGTGATTGACAACGACCGCTTTGGCCTATAAGGCTGCTACAGTGATCGCGGTGAATCAGATTGATGACACATTACGAACATTTCGGATGAGTGTAGCAACTGCCGGCCATGTGTAAGCCAAGGCGGGTACACAAGCCATCAGACATTCTTCCGGTATTTGGCCACTGAGCACAACGTTGCTCCGTTCTCAGCGCCAAGTTCTGCGAAGGCGCTGAGGAGAAGTCGCTGATTTTCAAGCCATACTGCATAGGCGGGTACTTTTCTGAGAGAAAACTCTTAAAGCTATATGACCCATGGAAACTGCATGAAGAGTTCTGCACTGATGATTTTGAAATCAGAGTCTTCGCGAGGCAAAGGCTGCTACTCGCTGCTAAGGCTGCTTCAGCCATTCGTTTCGATAAAGACATGCTGCCGAAAAATCAACGCATCTATGTCTCCAGTTTCCTGTTTTTTTTTATTCCAAGAGGAATAGCCTATTACTACTGTGTTTTCTATGTTCTTGCAAGGACCCTAACCCTACCACGCCACTGAAGATGTCTTTCATTTAAACACGACTTTTCGCCTCGGTCTTTTGCCAAGATGGCGTCAGTGGGTACAATTGCGGCATGTAAAGCCACATCACAAACGCCTATAACATTCCAGTCTTCTTTTGGCCAGCTTGGTCATGCGACGCTGTTAAAAAAACAAATAACCATAATTTCCAAAACCAGAAACTTTATCCTCGCCCTGCGGGGGAGGAAGGAAGGATTCAGAGGTGTTCCCTAAGGTTTTCCCGGAATAATTTATGAACGGATTAATCACGGTACTGGAATTTCGTGTGCCTAACTACTTTTTTTGTACCTCCAGTCAAGATCTGAGACCCCTGACCCTAGCAGTTCATGACGGCTGATGAAATTTTCGAAGGACGAGGGTTATGAGATCATGCTTGCTTATCTCTAAGAAAACGTTATCAATGACGCGAAATTTCTAATTGTACACACCTTATAATTTGAAACCATATAATTTGCGGTCTCACGCTAGAAATCAGTACGTTTTGGTTGAATCGTAATTAGACCTGTGCCGCCAAAAAGAAAATATTGAAGTGGGTTAAATTAGAAGCTCTGTGAAGTTTAAATGTCATAAAGTGATAAAATTTAAGTATGACATCTTAAACGTATATTCATACAGCAAATATTGTTAAAAAAACGCCAATGTATCTTTGTATTTAATTTTAGTATAATACGTTTGAAATAAGAAAGATTCCGTACGACGAAGAAACGGATCATATGTCTTATCAGCTGCAGACAGCACAGGCTTTGCCCGAGATTCACATTGCCCAATCTTATCCATGGCAACTCGGCATCATCGTTGGGTCCTTGCGACGTATTCAGTTGCTGAGGCTATGTCGTGTCGCATTCCCGCCACCCTGGCAGAAATGGTGAGCACCGCATGGAGTGGAACACCGTACCTCTGGTTTACCAGACGCGCAGCTAAACAAGTGCACTCCCGACACTTTTACTCGGATTGTCAACAAATCCAGAAGCAAGAAGGCACTTTTACAACTTCCCTGCTGCCTGAAGACATTGTGGGCATTTTCAACACCACGATTATATTTGGCGATGTTTGCAAAGATCTGAGGATCGACTGTCCTGCAACTATCACGTCAGGCCTGGCTCTTGGGCGAGTGTCACGTTACTCTGGTGCGCGAGAGGGTTATTTGCAAAACACGGCTTTGCAAACAATTTCCATTCATTCCAAGGCAAGTCGTAGAAAGCAGCCGTGTCCCGCTTTAGGAAGCCCCACCAAGCAGGTTGGGACACTTCCAAGCAGTGAGCAGCTCGAATTCTTGAGATGATTCAGCCGCAAATGAATTAAACAAGTCAGTATCCAAGGCAGTGAGTGTTGAACATTTAGAAACGCCGGGAGCGAGACGTGAAATGGTGAGTTCAGAGACTGTGGTGGACGGTCAACAGTATTTTAAAAATGTGTTTAAATAAAACCCGGCGTTCATAAGCGCTGCTTTGAAATGTCAGACTTTTTCAAACGCCTATTTTCATAATGTGCTCAGTTGATTGTTTCGGGTCTTTGTTTCACCGGGACCCCTGTATCCTGATATATGGAATGTCGGTCATTTTCGTATTGAGAACTCAAACTCAGTGTGTTGCTACAATTATTCTGGCGTTTGAAACCTAGGAATCAGTAGCAGCTCTCTCAGAATTGCATTAATATGGTTTAACACCTTGTGCTTTTAACCCGTTCGGAGCATACACGAGACTGTCGCTGACTTCTTGCAGCCCTACATTGTCCTATCTTTTCATTTCTGAACGCGTTTGGTAGTAACGGCCATCGCTGGACAACGTAAGCAGAGTAGTTGAAATGATTCGCCGGTACATTCCACCGGTGATTGAGCACCAATCACCGGTGATTGAGCACCAATCACCGGTGGAATGCATCGGTTGACCATGGGTATGCTCATGCATCCGCATTGGTGCAAGAACGCCTCAACTGCGTTGCAGAACACTGTGGGTGCTCAAATCCATCAGATTACGTTGAGTGTTATTCAGATCCACCCAGCACATGGCGTTACAAAATATGCTTAATCCTACTTTTCTTCTCCTAAATGCGACACTAACATTTTCCTTTTTGAGATCTATTTTTTCAAACAGCAGTTCCTGCCCCCCAACTACAAAGTTGGCACCGCACATACTCAAATTTCAAGGAGGTTCCTCATGGAACTTAGGCGAGATTCACCGAATGAGCATCGCGGTCAACTCTCTACCCGCACCCAGACCATCACTGGCCTTCCCTGCAGAGACCATCAAGCTTCGTCAATGACCCAGCCCGCTATATACGTGCACATCATGACCGAGGCGTCTGCCCGTTCGATGTCTGTATGCGAAACCGAGCCGAATGGCCTAGAGTCGCGGTTTGGTCATGGTAGTCTGCAGATATGCCTTGACGTACACATCGAGGTGCCGCGCACGCTCTCCGCGGCATTGTCATACTTAAGTATAGGGTCAATCAGCGTTTAAGCATGGTGAGCACTTCTGCTCATTGTCCTGTCAATGATGGGTCTTGCCCTACTAAGGTACTGTTTTATCGTCTTCACAACATCCGCCATCTTGTCTTAGCTGCGTCTGTCAGGAAACACTCTGGGCTGAAATTCAGCCGAGAGCCATTCAGATCTCCCCAGTGAAGAATCGGACGACTCGACACATTTTTTACAGGCTTACTCGGAATGGGTCGCACAACTGGCTGTGGGTTCAAAGCACGCGCTAAGCAGAGGCCAATGCGAGCTCGCTGAGCCCTTCGACCGAGTTCTGGTTCAAGAGATAACTCGGCTGCCATCGTTTTCGCCGGACAGCAAGGACTGCGGAGCTGCAACACCGGCAAATGAAGACGCATGATGCTCAGCCGCGCGTCTGGCTTATTTGCTGTTCATTTTATATAATAGGTGAAACAAGTACTTAGGTTTTTATGAACATTCACACATTATGCAAGAGGGTCATTACGCAAGAGATATTCACACATTATTTCTCACAATCGATCTCAGAGCTGCTGAAGTGAGGTCATGGGTGGAGGAGAGCACTTACTTTTTATTATTGTAAACTCCTGCCTTTTTCGTGCAGAGCAACGCTCGTTACATGCGTGACATGGACATGCAACGTATAAGCTAGATATTTTTCACAATTAACAGCATTTTGGTAAAAAAAATTGTGATGTAACGTCAAGTTCATGTCTCAGACCAGTTCGCATCTAGTACCTTTTTTGCTAGCATCAAACTAGGCGGTGTAGATTCATGCTGTGTGTTTATGTAGCTTGGATTACTCTGTAAGAAGATCTGGTGACCAGGCAGCATTTGACATTCAGATCTTTACTTTTTTAGGCTTTGCTCGATCCTAGATTTTTGGGTAATGATAGCGTTCTGTGTAAAAGCAGGCTAACCAATTTTTCATAATATGGGCTCTGGTTTGAATGCTAGAATCCTCACTATTTTGTCCACAAAAGTGGGTGGGCTGACTCATGTTACTGGCCCATCCACTGTAATAAGTGAGTGTCTGACAACTCATTCACTCCTGTCTGTAATATGAGCTAAGCTCCTGGCGTTTAATCTGATAAGAAAATGAACACCTACTTAGCTATGAAACACATGCATCATGAGGCATCATAGCCAATCAACCACACAGACATGGTTCGTGAAGTGGCATCTTTCATTGCAGATATCTATTAAAATGATGAGTGTCGGTAACTCTAAAAAAATGCTTGTTCATCTCACTCTGCCATCATTTTTCTTCGTGAAACCACATCATGTGGCACTACATGATATATTTGTTTTCATGACACCGATAACGGTAAGTTCATTGCTGCAGAAACTTCCATGTAATTCACACCTTTGTGCTGTAAATAAGCGATTGACATGCCTTTAACTCCTCCTTGCTCCGAAAGCAGCGTTGTGTCCCGAACCAGCCAAAGACGTGCGTTGGACGTGGCAGCGCGGACGGCCACAGCTAACACCCATCGCCCCGGCCGGCGCGTGCCAGCAGCGACCGCGCCGCGCCGACCCAGTCGCCTTCACGCGCCTCATTTGAGCAATTCCGCCGCGCCGTCGGCAGCCGCCCTGGAGCACTCTCAGCCAGCCGCGCGACGTCGAGACGATAATGGCGTGCGGACGCGTCGGCAACCGCCGCCTACAAACGCCGCTTCCGTCGGGCGCGATCCGGGTCTCTGGCCGCGTCGCCGCCCGTCGCCGGCGGTGCTGGCGCGCTGCCACGGCGCCGGCGGCGATCGGCCACGCCACCGCCGCCGATTTTGCGTCTGACCTCCGTGCCAAAGACGGTGGTGATGGCCTTTTGGGCACGGGCCGCCAGGTCGTGTCGGCCACAGGCTGTCGGTGTCGCCGCTCGGCGGTGGCTCGCGGCGATGCCCGGGGACCGGGCAGCGCCGCTGACAGACGCTGTCCCGTACACGTTGTTTTGCCACCGGGACCGCTGTTCGCCCCGGGGGATACGGATAATAGTGATCTTGGCAGTTGGGTGCGTCGAAATAAGCGGTAGCTAGATGCTCAGTTTCGATGGCCTATTGCCTTCTTAACTATTTATTCGTCGGCGTAAGGTTAACAAGGTTACGACCCGTGATGCACGGCTATGCCAGAGCCTGGTAGCCTGTGGATACCAGTGCCCAATAATTTAAGAGGATGTGTGCATTCTGTTTTGGCCGACTCTTGCCTATCTATGTCTGTCTTGCTCCTGCCTTCATACTACGCCCGTGGCGTCGCCGGCGAGGGACTGTAGTCAACAGGCGGTACAGCCTTGGTTTATGACACGGGCAGGGCTTTATTAAACTGGTGCAACAGCATGTAAAACTGGCACAGCAACAGCAAATGTCATCAACAATTTACGAGCTTTGTAAACTTTTTAGGCATTTCAACAGTTCACGACATGCATGTTTCATCGTTGTGGAGGTGACCTAGGGGCATCATGTACATCAACAGATGACTTATAAATTGCTAGTTCTTGATTTTGGACCATACTAAAAATGTTCGGTATCTTATTGACATCTTTGGAGTTTTGAGAGCTGCGAAGCCCCAATCTCGATGGAAAATTCTTGGAGGGAGATATGGAGGGAATGCAGGCACGCTGCGTTAGTATATCCCTGTGAATGGCCACCAAAAGTTAATATCATGTGTTAAACTTGTTTTATTTTAAAGTCTTGAAGCCGAGATCGCAGAGCTATTGAGTGAAGCAATGTCGCCAGCAAAGCCATGGAGACGATGCACATCAAAGGTGCAAACCAAGCACGCAACGTTAGCCTTCTGGGCTCGCTCCCCCAAGCGTAGGGGAATCAGCCCTAACGGCCCGCGTCAAGAAGAAGCACGCGCAGACGCCCCGGCGGACAGTGGCGCCACCCCCGACCCACGGGCTTGCCGTGGCGTACTTGAGGGGCTGCGGTGCGCGGCCCGACCCCCGACCTCCGCCGGACACGGCAGCCTGACGACCCGCGAGCACCGGCGATCCAATTACGCGGCGCCTCGATGCGACGGCGATCTGCTGGGACGTCGGGCCTCGCCGAGCCCGGCGTCATCAGCGCGCCCCGGTCGCCGGCCGGACGCTGCGTGGCGAACGCCGCGGGACACGTCCGCGTGCCCCTCCCCGGGCAACCAGAGCGGCGATCAATGCCAGACGAGTAACTTGCACCGCCATGAATCGTCTCAGCGTCGTCCTGCAGCGAGTGATGAGGAGGGAGCATTGTGCAATCAGTTATTCTCGAAAGAGCGTGCGTGTGGCGCCTCCGCGACGTTGAAAAACTCGGGTGAGGAGAAATGTCTGCCCATAAGGCGATGAGGCTGATGATAGTTGCTCATTCTTCCCTCTCCCATTCAAGATCTCGTTCCTGCTTTCGTCAATGCTCCCATCCGCTGCCATAACAACCCGTCTGACTCCAGTCGCCGCTTTTGTGCATGTTCTTCAGAATCCCTAGCTCAGAGCTGGCAACCTTGCGCATTTTGCATACCTACGGAGGGCTCTGTCGCGTCTCCCTCCTCACACACGCACACTCCAACCACGATGCATATCAACAGATGACACAATGCCCCATTACGAGCACTGAATCCGTCAGATTCAATTTCCGATGGACAAATGGTCCATTGTCGGAGGGTGCAGGGATGATATCACATTCGCGAATTAAAAAAGCTGATTTGTTTCGAGTACCCGAACACCAGACGTCCTCAACTTGATTGGGTCATGCATTTGCTTCGTTTTGCTTTATTGGTGCGAGTGATGAGCTTCCTTTGTTTCAGACATAAATCTTGCCATTTCCTGCGCTGCCCGCATAAGCAAGCACAAGCAACGTTGCCAGCGTGCTCTTGCTTAATTACAACTATTTTGCACGGAGCAAAATGCTCACCGACGTGAAGCACCTACTTTAAAGGGAAAGTATGCCAATATAGAACGCGTTTTATGTGGCTGCGGTCGTCACAGATTGTGCGCACTTCGTTTCTATTACTGACAGACATTTCTACCAAATATATCTGAATGGAAGTCAGAGAACGTACGCGCACTTTATTGAAACAAAGAGGGAAGTGATTTCACCGCAGTAGCTGAAAGGCAACAAAGTGCAGAAATTTGTACGGATGTAAGGCTCCGCTTTCACGCCGGACACCAGTCAAGATCAATTGTATGAAATTGGGCGATGTAAGCCAACGACATTATTCTACAGGAACATCAGAATAAATCTCCCTGATTGGAAGGTATTAGGGAATATCCAGAACGGGCTGCTTGCGCCATGTCGAGTGTCTGTATTCTGAGGAAGACTTCGAAAATATCCTGAGGACACGTGAAGCGTGATAAAGAAGCCTTCGGATCTGTGGAGAAGAGCTTTTGAGCAGCGAGGCTGATCTTCCGTCCGCACGAGTGGCTCAAAGTTCCTGTCGCATCCGATGAACGGCCGCCGTATATCTGTCAAGAGGCCAGATAATCAGGAGTAGAGACAATGCCGAATCAAAGGGCTCTGATCGGTGAGGAATGGGCCCTGTCTACGAAGAAAGTGCAGCTTGCCTGTGGGCCCTTCAAGACAAAATGGCCGCGGCTCCCACAGTGGCCCTGCGGTCGTCGCCAATGATTCTCGAGACGTGCTTCGAACTTCTCTTATTGCCAAAAGCTAATCTGACTGGGCAAAAAGTCAAATACAAATGTGTCACACAGGGCGACGGCTTTTAAAGGAATGCTGCACTTTTGCAGATATTGAAGCAAGCGTCAGATGTGATGACATAAGCTCAGTTATAACGTTTGGCATACTTGAAAATGGGCAAGACTGCTCAAGACCACACAATTTCTTTGTTTAGTATATATGCTCCTCAATACCTCATTGCTCGATTACGTCATACTTCCTTGCACGACATTGACTGATAATTTTATCTGGAAATGACGCTCATGAACGCTGGATATCAACGACTCGGCAACTATATTTTGTTTGTCCTTGATCGCCGCGTGGCCAATGGAATGGCAGAATTCGAGTGACGTTTTGGCGCCATGGATGCCTGGATTATCTCGAAGTGGTTTCCCGAGATATTTTGCACATTTTCGCGGGCGTGTTTCCCAGAAATTAGAAGGGTTTATGTTTTAAAAATATGAGGGCTGTGAACTGCACCGAATGATCTTCGAGATGGCCATTTTAACTTAAAACCCTATGCAACTGTGAAAGCATTGTCTTAAAAGAGAATGTTCCACTTTTGAGGATTATCGAAGAAAGCGTCAGTTGCGATGACCGAACCCGTGACATCATACCGATTTGCGGGCCATTTCATTCCCGCGTGCTGGTTCTACGATCCAGGGGTAGCTGGACATGGCCCTGTGAACCGGCTCAATCGGTTGGTTGTTTCTGGAGGTGTTACGGCCGGGCGTTAATGCCCGCCGAAACCCCGGCAGCCAATGAAAAGTGACGTATACCCTGGTGCGTGGCCGGTTGAGGTCTATGCCATGGTCACCTTGTTTGTTCTTGCCTTGTTTTGTCAACTTATCATCTGTCAGCTTACCAACTTGACAACTCGTCATGGTTAGAACATTGCTAGCTTTCTCAACTTTGTCATCACGCGAACATCTCGGCTCAACATGCATAACCATCCAACGATTTAGCAGGCCGCCTCACACAGTGAATCCCATCGCTTTGCAGCACCCATTGGTATCACAGCACCGGGCGACATCCATTCAGTGGCATTCAGACCACGCAACAACTGGGCCTTATCTTTGGACCTTTATCACGCAACCCAACTACGGACTAGTATTAACAGAAGCAGTAACGGGGGCCGGAAGCCTTTATGGGTCTGGAACTGTGACCGTGGTACATCGGTATGCACTGTCGGCCGTCAACCTGAATCAAACGGCTTCAAAATGTACCGTGCGTTCAAAGTCATCGAAGCGGTTTCATGTATTTTCTACCAAATCCAAAAGGCTGATTGCTTTGAGGCACCAAAGGAGGGTGTTGACATCCAAACCGGCATCACCAGACCTCCGATTCACTAAGTTCAAATCCCCTTCTCCTGTTTTGCGGCCGCGACTGACCTGAGTCATGCACGAAGACGACCGACTTGGCCTCGGCCAGCGAGGTCATGGGCTCCTGGTCGAGCAGCGCCTTGAGCATGAGGTCGACGACGCCCTCGAGCGAAGTCTCGCCAACGTCCAGCAGCAGGCGCGCCTCCTTGATGAAGTGCGACACGTCAAGCGAGGCGCGCACCTCCGACCCAAAGTCTTTCAGTGTCACCTTCTGCAGGTGGCGGGCGAACAGCACGGGCTGGTGGCGCGGCAGCAGCGTGGCGGCACCCTCGGCGCCGGCCGCCGACTCGGCCTCCGGCGAGCGGCGCGTGCTGCTCTTGCGCCGAATGCCCTCCGTGCTGCCGTTGCGGCTGGAGGCCGAGCTGGGAGGCTGTGGCAGCTGCCAGCTGCCGTACAGCGTGGCCCAGGGCTGCGTCAGCGAGCAGCGGCGCGTGCGCGGCGCGGCGCCGTCCAGCGGCTTCTTGAGCACCACGCCGGGTCCGAGCGGCGCACACAGCGCGATGGGCGGCACGTCGGCCGGCGGCAGCGGTGGCACGTAGTCCTCGCTGAAGCTGGAGCGGCGCAGCGCGCGGCGCCGCTCGGCCGGCGCCGGCGCCGCGCCGCGCACGCCGCCCGTTAGCAGCGCCGCCACCGACATCTGCTTGACGAGGCGGCGCGGCGGCTTGGGGCGCGGCGCGGGGGCCGATGCCGGCGCCGGCGCCGGCGGCTCCTCGCCGGCCGCCACGGCGATGGTGACGCCGACGGCGCTCCCGGGCCCGGCGGCGACCTCGGGAGGCGTCCCGACGCCCGCCTCCGTGTCCGACATGGCGCTGCCGTGCCGGCGGCACTCAGGCGGCGCCGGCGGCTGACGCGGCCATGGCGGGAGCGACGCGCGGCGGGACTGCCGCGTCGGCGCCGGCGAGCGGCGGCGGCGCCGGCGCCGACGCGGCGGGGGTGGCGCCCCCTCCCTCCGCCCGCCCGCTGCACGACTCCCGGACAAAGGTCACGGGCGCCGGCGGCCCGGGACTGAGGCCATAAGTCAATAGAGCTGGGTCAGACGACATGGTGGTGGAACGACACGAGACGAGGGACGAGACGTAACGCAGAGGGGAAGGCATTGGGGAAGGGAAGGGGGGAGTAAGCCGGATTTTAAAAGATGATGTAGCCGTTCACTGATGCCCATTCATTCCCCAAACAGTCTGTTTCACTCCGATATATCCATTTACAGCCTCATACCATCCGTTTGCAGGCAAACGGTGGGGTAATCTGACCTGAAGTTGACCAAAGTCCGCCTTTCTTCATCTCATTGACACGAGTAGCCATTGATTGTGGGGTAGGCGTTGGATATTACTCTGCAGTTTCTTTTGCTTGTGTGACCCCGAAGCAAACCGCCTCAGTACCATTACATTTTTAGATGCTTACAACAAATGTGCAATGTATCCTGTATTGAAGACATCGGAGCAAGGGAACAGAAACCAACCCAGATGATAGAATTACTTACGACCGTCGAGTAACACGTCAACACACAAGGGTAAAGACTGTTAGGGCATACAAAAAAGTAACCTGTTCTAACTTGACAGTGGGTTCTCCCGGTTAATGAGCGCTAAGTAAGCATGTAACGGTTTCGTAGTTTGGCTTTAATACTGAATTATTATAGACAGACACGAGTTGAAATTAGACATGGCCGCGCTTTCATCGCTCTCTTATTTCGAGCAAGGCCTCAAACCCAGCGAGCCTTAACGTCAGCCGACCGGAAACTGAGCAGCTTCAGCGACCCGGCCCGGCCGGCCACGCCTTTGACGGGATCATTGGTGGTGCCGTCATTGTTTTTTCAACCAGAAATGACAAAATCATTTGAAAATTATGCTGCAGAGTTACTGAAGGCTGTGTAAAATATGGAAGCCAACTGAAGAGGCGGCATATTTCCTCAATGCGCAGTGCCGCGATTATGCCCCCTCCTCGACTCGATTAATGAGTGAAACGCAAAATTTTGTAATTGCGGAAAAAATATTGAAACAACTGGTCAGACTCGTTCTCGTCTGGCGTGCGTGCGTACTAACATTTCAACTGTAATAGTGCGCGACGTGTGTGTAAAAAATGTACACACTAGCACACTGCACGAGCACGATGGTACGGACAATTAGTCCATCCGCGACACTAATGTCCCGTCTCAATCTTCCCGAAAAGCTACAAAAACTGCTGAGACACGCGCAGTGGAAACAGCTCCAGCCCTCTGTGGCCAGGAGTCGCGGTGGCGTGAGTCCAGCTCATGCTGACGAAAAAAAACGCACAATCATACATGACACAATGCTGGTCGGTTGGTGTGCTCCCCCGTAGTGCACTAAAAGTCTACTATGGTTCTACCCTTTTCCGGGGATTTTGAGGATTCATGTCAAATTTAGACGATCAGATCAGGTAGGAATGTGAGGTCAAGGTGCAGGCAGTGCAGGCGAACAAAGCGTCCAAGAGTCATTAAGCAATGTCGATACTGTCAGACCTACTTGGTGTGCCAGTAATGCACCAATAAGCGGCTTATGTCATCTTTTCTGCAACCTGCTTAAAAAACGCATTTACATATTGTGGTTTAAACCAGGACAATTCGTGGCATGGAAACTGTTTACTTGCATCACCCAGTTTAAAGTCGTCATTCTCCAACAGGATCGGTTTTAAGGGTAAACCACTGTCGGGATGGAGGGTCCCTTTGGAGATATAAAAACGCTGACATACTCAAAGGAAAGTGCTGACACGACCCCAAAAAAGACTTTCCGTGTCTTGATTGCATTGCAAAAGTGCATATTTTAACGTAATGCATGTCGATTTAACAGCGGTAAACAAATCTGAAGCGTGTGGAACATGAACGTCATGGCCCAGATGTTAGAAAAGTTCGAAGTTTTCTCTCCTTGACTACTGACACGCCAAAATGCTTGGTTACTTTGATCATAACATAAATGACGAGCAATGAACGAGCCGTGGTCGACTTGCCGGTGGAAGGTGAGTAAGGATGGCGTGGAGTTGATACATCGTGACCCAGTGGTTAGCAACAGTCAAGATGCCTCATTTATGGCTGCTGACACGCTGAACAAAACACCCCTTTCCAGTTCAAATGCGACAGTGTTTTCATTCGATGCAGCTTTGTAGATTTACGGAAGGCAATGAAGAATGTAGTATGTAGGTTATGGGCGTCGTAACTCACGGGCCAACAGAGCCGGAGGTTTTCAAAGGGCTGCAAAGTAGATTTTTAGCGTGTTAACGGTCACAAATGAACAGTTTGGGACCTCGGTGACCCATTAGTTAAGACGCGCATGTTCCAAGCCTTATGTATGTGCCTGTTCCCGCCAAATCGACAACACCACGTCAATTGGTTTACTTGTGCAGTCATAGTACTGGCAGATGGCTTTCGAGCGTTTGTAAGCGCTCGAAGGTAAGATCAAGGAGGATTTTGCCTCGGTTTGCTTTTCCGAGCTGACTGGGTCGCTCAGAATGGTTAAGTCAGCCCATTACATGCGGCGGCCGACGTGCCTGCGGAGCAGAAGAACGACTCAACAGAAACATTGGTGATCGCAGCAAACAACCCAACTCTATTGGCAGGCTACTTCCGGTCTCTTTATGGCTTTTGTGAGGCGTCATATGAATAAATAAAGCCAGAACAAATCTGCTCGTTTGGATATAAGACTGATGGGTTTGCCTGTTTTATTTTGTTTGCCTTTTTGTTGCATTTCCACAGATACCCAGCGGATTTCGAACCATGAAAAGTCGTAATGGTTTTCAAGCAGATAACGTCTTACAATCAATGGCGGACTCAGTGGTTTTGATGCACATAACCATGAAGATTACTTTGTCGCCTTGGCAGAGCATTTTTATCGAAAATAATGGAGGCGAGCTGTTACGACAGACTTCTCGCAGCATTGCATGACAATGCAAAATCTCACAGTATTACGTTTCGTTGAAAGCCATGGTTAAAATGCCCGCAACCCTGGGACCACTTGAGTAGTCAATAGAGTCAATTGTTCATGCAGCAGCTGTTCTGCGCAAGAGCCTAAGTCCAATGCCGCTATCCCAAAACTATGATAAAAGGCTCCATCCACCAAACAACGTCACGTAATTTGTTTCCACTTTTCAACCCGCTCCGTCCTTGATTATGTACTGGTCACGGTAGGCGAAACCCCCGCCTCTTGGTCACGTTGCGTTTAGCACAACGTCCCACACAATGTGGCGTCCGTTTTGCATCAATTAAGCTACATCTGTGAAGACGAGCGTCTTGCTTGTCATGAGAAGCAGCCGATGATACCCAGCTTAAAGGTTTAGAATCGGTTCTAAAAAGACATGGACATGATAAGCAACCATACCCGAGCGTAACGTTACACTGCATCAGATTTTTCCCCCTTGTCGCGCTTCAATTACGCTCCATCGCCTCCTCCCCCCTCCCCTGTATACATCAACGTACGGGCGGCCTTAAGTAGTCGAAAAATGTAAAGACAATCTGCAAAGTCAAAGGCAATAGGACCACTCTGCCGGTTTTCGGATCCATAAAACTGATTGCAAAATTTGACGGTTTCAGGGACCCCTCCGATCATTGCTGGAGTTAATGGCACTTAAGAAGAAGCAAGACCGGTGGCTGCCCATTGTCGAAATGCAAATAACCTGGTCCGTCTGTTTTTCGCAGTCCATCTTACGTGGGAGTTTGAATGATGGCGTTTGAGCGAATATGCGTCATCTTGAACGGACCTGTAGATGTGAGGCTGCTTTTAGGGTGCCTCAGCTGCCTTGGTTATATAATATATAATATATATATATATATATATATATATATATATAAACTGGAACTGGAACAGCCGTTTTGAAGATCATTTGGTGCAGTTTACAGCCCTTAAGACCCAAAACTCCTCTAGTCTTTGAGCTGCAGGCCCGCGAAGATGTGCAAGCTGTTTTGTACAGACTAGTTTAAGGTCATGCGGGCATGTATGACGCCATAGCAACGCCATTCAAATCTTGCCATCCCATAGGCCGTGCGGTGTTAAAGGCTTAGAAGAATGCTATCGTCGAGCCGTTCAGGTCAAGCGTTCGTGAGCACAATTTCCGAATAAAGCGGACGTCAGTTTGCTCTCAATCAATGTCGGGAAAGCTGTGCAAGGTTCAATCACGATTTGCTTATTTTGTTATTTGAACTAGAGTCCTTTTGACAAGAAATAAACATTT